AAACTTGTTAGCGCCACTGTTACGGGCATGTCCATGTTGTAAAGTTAAATAAATTATCATGAGCTTTATTATTTGGGCCCGGTCATTAGCCCCGCCCCCCGGCCCACGCCGTCTTGTTCCGCTACTGCGTCACATGTTTGCCTGAGGAGCGGAGGCAGCAGTATGGCATCTTGTGTGGAGCTTATTATAACAAGGTAAGTTCCATGTTAAAATGATCATGTTTTTGACTATTTTTTATGGAGGCATTATTTTTCTGTTTACGCAAGAATATCGATTCGTATACATAGTTCGCTTAACCTACGTTTATTTGTTTGGATATCACGGTATGTTTATTATCTTAACTGAACATTGAAACTGTCAGGAAAATCTGGAGGCCATCTGAGTTAACATTATTTAGCTGCAGAGGTCGTTTTCTTTAAGTTTTTGGCTGTAGACTGCAAAATAGGGGAGTGACTGTGCTGGACCATTGGCTTGATCTATGCCACAGGTGTCAAACTCTGGTCCTGGAGGACCACTGTCCTGCAACATTTAGATGTACCGCTGCTGCACCACACCTGAATACAATAATTAGGTGATTAGCAGGATACTGGAGAACATATATACACAATGAGGAGGCAATTGAGCCATTTGACTCTGGTGTTTTGTATATGTGGCACATCTAAAAACTGCCAAAATGTTTTCTCTTTGATAGTGTGTCATGTTGGTGACTGAAGCCGGTTATGATGACTCCAACACATTTCTTCAGACAGGTTGGCACGACTTTTAATGCTGTCCAAATTTTTTTTCTATAAGCTGACTAATTTCTTTAGTAATTATTTCTGACTGTTTTATGCTTTATTTTGTAAACCAGGTGGGCAGAGTAATTTGAATGAATATGATGGTGACACACACAGGTGAGTCTGATTAGTTTTGCTCACACTTCTTTTTAAAATATTTATTTATTATCCTAATGTTTCTGCTACATTTCCTGTTTTTCCTTCCAGGCTGGAAGTCTTCCTCCTTCATGTTAGTGAAAACAAGAGCGGCACCAAAGACACTTCACCATCAGTGATCACAAGACCATCCATGGCTGCTTCCAATGAACTTTCAAAGCACACTTCACCTTCAGTGCAAAGTGCAATGAATGTATGACCTTTGTTGTATATTGCTGTCAGTGCTGTTTGATGTTTTGAAATAAAAGTAGATTACATACTGCAACTGGTGCTGGTGTTTTTGTAGCATCTAATGTCTTTTAAAACGAATTTGGGGATTATTGATGGCCAATAGTTTCTGGGGAAAAAAAGGTTTTAATTGCTGTAGTGGCTTTTATTTGGTAGTAAGTTGCCAAAAAAAAGTGGGTAATGAGAGAAGAAGACTGGGAAGCAAACCCACAACAGCCGCATTGAAAACTAGAGCCTCCATATGTGGGTTGTTCTTAACCCCTGCACCACCACAGCATATCCTGCCAGTAGTATTTCAAAACTCAGATTTCTATGTTAATATATACTTTACACCATTCTGTGTTAGATTAACATGTTCATAGTGTTAACTTTTGACAATATACACTAGTGTTGAGTAACTCAACTCTGATGTGTGTTTAATTTCAACTACTGTGAGTGTTGATTCAACTATATCACAAATAACACTTTCAAAAGTGTAACTTCTACACCATCCAGAGTGGACCAATATAGACACTTTCAAAATGTTGAATTCAACTCTGTAGGAGTTGATGGAACACTTCCAAATTTGCTGTGTAGCCGCTGGAGGAATCAGTAAGACCTACAAGCCTGTCCTGCTTCAGCTGCACTCTGCTGGTCATACTAGAATGGGGAATTAGGAGAACACCAAATTAATTTAATATCATAACACAGCAAAAGGCATATTGCATCTAATAAAACTAAGTACAAGACACAAACACACCAAATAATAAAAAACACAAATTATGTGAATATCCTCCTTCGGCCTGTGACCTACCAGCTTAGTTTTACATTTTACATCTGGAAGAAAATATATATTTAAGAGTTACGTTGCCTCCCCTCATCGACAACACTGATTATGTGCTTGGTAAATAAATCATCTGCACAGTCACTTGACGTGTGGTGCAGATTAATGTGGACCTGATAACATTGGAGCAACGATCCGCTGTTTTCCCACTTTAGCTTCAATGCTAGTTAATACACACACACACACACACACACACGGAGGACTATGCAACAGTTTTTTAACACATATTTCCTCCAGATATATTTGGTATTTTCCACGCTTAATGCCACTCGACAGATGTGCGCTGGTTAACGAATTCAACATAAAGACAGGCGAATATTACACAAGCCTAGTTTATGAACTTTACCTAGTGCTAACATTAGCTAGCACAATATGCTACCGGGGATCACGGCAGACAAAATATGTGACTGTCGTCATAAGTTGTGTAAGATTTCTTCTTTGAAACAGAGTGGACACTGTAGTAACTATGGAAGCCCATTTCCGCCACTCTGTTAAAAAAAAGAATTATCTCATTATTATAATGAGATATTGTAATGAGATAATTCTTTTTTTTAACAGAGTGGCGGAAATGGGCTTCCATATTGATTGAATGCTACTTTTTTTGTTTGACATGATTTTTTTTTTTATTGAATAATTGTGAAACAAATCTAACTACATAGCAGACTGTGGGTACTGTCTCCTATCGTCCCCTACTGTCCTCCAAATATTTCTCCACATTTTAGTAAGAATCTGCTGTGTTGTTCACATTTCATATGTTTGTGGTTTTAATTATATATTTCCAGTTAAAAGTATCCAAAGGCATATGCTTATTTTTAATCCCCATAAAAGTTGCATCTTTGGAGAATGGAGCTTTCTGACAGCATCAATGTGTAAAATAAATCATTTCCATGAGCTCAACAGCCTCCTGTCCCATTGGATAACATGCAAACGTTTTGGAGTTGAGGCGTTAACATAGTGGTGTAAAGATTATTAGGATTGGAGTTTTTAACATTTCTAAATTTTATTATTTTTAGTAAAGTTGGCATCAAACGGAGAAAAATTGAGAAAATTAGGTCATCATGCCTTCCATTTACCATGGCAACCGTCTGTTTCAATTAGCCTAAAGGATTCTGTTGTAACCTAGAAAAAACGCTGAGCCGGATCCAGTACTGTCTTCACATGGTCCTGGTGGCTGACCACATCTTTACCAAATGCTAAAACTGCTGAACAGATTGGCAAACAGATGGGGAACAATGGCCGCCACCCTGCACTGTCATACTCTTCATTGTGCATAAAGACATGTTAAACTGTGTGTGCATGCGTGTGCGCGTGTGTTTGCATGGCTGAGCTAACTCAGCCCAGTGACTCCTCCAGACTTAGACATGTCTCCCCACTGTGTCTGTTTTTCTTGGCAGTGTGAGACACTGGTGGAGGAACTGGAGGACGACATCATCTCTTTGCTTGGCCGGGATGAAGGAGGAGACGTGCAGAAGAAGTTATGCAGCCGAGTCTCAGGTAATTCATCTGTTCTTTATTCCTGCCACTGTTTTCCTCCTGCTCTTTAGGTGAAGTGGAACCTGTTTGGAACAGCGTTGCAGATGGTCAATTTTTTGTTGGATGTAATGTCATGACAGAGTAACACCAAGAGCATCAGTATTTTCTTTGGGCTTTTCTTTAATGAAATGATGGCTTTTATGAATTTTCGTGTTCCTCTAAAAGTACAAAGAATAAATAACAGAAAACAAACAACATGAAAAACAGAATCAACTCTACAAAAAAATGATCACTCCAAAAGTAAAATCTTTAATTTGCAAAAAAACAAATACAATTTCTCTGTATTTGTATTTCTGAAGTCAGGCAAAGTGAACCAATCAAAAAAAGAACTGTTGTGGTTAGACGTTTTCAACAACTGGATATGAGGGCCTTTACATGATCAGTTTGAACCAGTCATTTCCAGGGTGGAATTGTCACACAATTCCAGTAATTTTTTCTTAGAGTGAGACTAGCTGGTGATTGGCTGCTGCCTCTTTATTATGTTTCCATTGCAAATGTTTGAAAAACATTGTCGACCTTCTGCTAATGTCTAATGAACACAATTTTTGCAATTATGGGGTCTCCATGAAATAACAAATGCAATTAAAATCACATGTGAATAAGCTTGTTCAAATAACAAGTCATTAAAACTCATGACGGCGACAGATATAAACCCTTATGTGAGATTTATTCAGAAAACACTAGCAGGCATCAGATGAGATGTTGGTGTCTCATTCAGGCATTGGAGTGACTAGCTTTTTGTACCTAAAGTGGTTACATATACAGTGTTTTGGGGAAATTGTAGTTGGAGACTTTACTCATCCTAGTGTTAGTTTCCATTAAGCAAATTTATTTTCAGAATGCTAGTTTGAGCAGTTATATGGTTAATGAAAACACAGTTAGTGAGAAGGACTAGGTCGGTGTATGGTTCAGACAAATGCAGTGCCAAGGTAATTCTTCTCGATAGAATGTGTATCATGTTCTCAACAGGAAGAGCGACAGACATTCACCCTAAAGGGCTGATGTAAGGACTGAATGTAGTTGTTAAAGGAATCATTATTCTGTACTGGAATCTACAGAGTAAACACAGGAAGGCTAACTTTACAGGAGTTGTTTTTTATCATATTGCGTTTGACTGGTGTAAATTTAGATAATGTCACACTGTGTCGCTGTTGGTTGGAATACAAAAAAATAGTTGTGATGTTGAGTGACAGTATTTTATTTCAATTTATAAAAACCGAACAACCTACAGAATTTTTACTGTATTGTTTTTTTGTTTCTAAAATAAATATTTCTCAAATAAATATTTATGTGAGAAATAAATATTTATTATACTACACTTGTTACTATAACTAATCGTGTTGTTACAACTAATCATGGATCCCTTTAAGTATGTCCCAGTGTAAGTAAAGGGACCTGCAGGGAAGTGCAGAAAGTAGTCCTAATTGTCGCCTTTGTGTGATGAAAATTGTGCAGTTTTGTTCTCAGCCTCATGCCATTCACCACCCTGGCAAACTTTTCACCCACCTCTGCATGCAAAACTATTTTGTGATTGGTCAGAATTTTGTGGGTGTCTTTGAAGCAGGACATCCGTGTTTGTATTTTAGAGGTTTTAATAATTCACTTTGAGAAAGGAACTGGTTAATGAAGCCTGGTAAAAAGTGCAGCATAGATCGATACAGTAAGTAATTTCTGCTTGTAACTTAAATCACATTTTTTTCTGCACTCATTTATAGATTATTTGCATGTGCAAGATAATTTATTGATTATTCATGTATATTCAGTCATTTTGAGTAACTTACATCACTCTTAGGCATATATATATTTATAAACTCTAACTCTTATGGTTATATTTGTATTCATATTTAACACATTGTGTTAAATATTAATTTTTTTTTTTAATGTGTGGTACCGGGCCCTTTGATACGGGCTGTCAGGTCCCCGTATGACCGGTGTCAGAGTCTGGTCCATATTGCCGGCAGTAAGTCGGGCTCGTTTCCGGTGAGAGTTAGACTCCGCCAGGGCTGCCCTTTGTCACGGATCCCCTCACCAATTCTGTTCATTTCTTTCATGGACAGAATTTCTAGGCGCAGCCGAGGTGTTGAGGGGATCCGTTTTGGTGGCCTTAGGATCGTGTCTCTGCTTTTTGTGGCTGATGTGGTTTTATTAGCGTCATCAGGTCGTGATCTACAGCTTTCACTGGAGCGGTTCGCAGCCGAGTGTGAAGTGGCCGGGATGAGGATCAGTGCCTCCAAATCTGGGGCCGTGGTCTTGAGCTGGAAAAGGGTAGAGTGCCTTCTCCGGGTCGGGGGGGTGTCCTGCCCCAAGTGGAGGAGTTTAAGTATCTGGGGATCTTGTTCACGAATGAGGGAAAAATGAAGTGGGAGATTGACAGACGGACTGGCACAACGTCTGCAGTGAAGCAGGCACTGTACCAGTCTGTCGTGGTGAAGCGTGAGCTGAGTCAAAAAGTGAAGCTCTAGATTTACCAGTTGATCATCTATGGTCATGAGTTTTGGGTCCTGCAGCTTCCACTTCTCTTCCTAACATGGCGCCTCCTCACCCTGACTCTCACACTGACAAGGAGGAACCACAGAGCTCTGTTGGGTTAAAGCTCATCTTCTGTAGTTGGGATATTTTTCCTCCAACAGGTTCCAGAGGAATCACCTCAAACCAGATGTTGGACTGGATTTTATTTCACTGTCATTTGTGAATGTTAGAGCCTCATTTTCAACAGTGGAGCTATAAAGGTTGAAAAAGGTTATTACTTTGGAGAAAGTCTCAACATCAATATTTCCACTAAATAAGAGGCAAATAAAATTAGTTTGATAAAGGAAAAGCCTCTCAGACTCTGAGCCCGACAGCACCAAACTATTTTATTAGACAATTAATTTAATTTCACATAATTATCTCGGTAGAAGCCATTTGTTTGTTAAATTCTTAATGAAACATATTTACATTGTTTGATGTTTGTTGTAAATGACAGACTAACGAGGTAATAAGTCCAAGTTTGTCGTTTATTGAACGTTCAGAAACTACAGCGGCTGTGAAGAGCCACAGCAAAGGTAAACAAAGGTAAAACGATCATGTTACCTTTGGGAAGAGAGTTGGGCATACTAAACTGCAATCAGCTGTTTCAATCCCGGTGACGGCCCAGGTAACGGACGCCAACAGTTCTAATAAAACAACGCTCTAATGAGCAATCGAGCAGAAATTTCTTGCTAAACCAATAGTGCTATCACACCAACAACTCACCAATAGATCAAATCAGTGGATGCAAAGATTTCGATTAATTTGCAGGAAGACGCCAAACAGCCAGCCACAATCACAGTGGAATAGGTGATGAAGTTCAACTGTGCGCTGGAGGCGGGGCTTTAAATAAGTTTGGGGCAAAACAGGAAGTGGGCCCGCAAAAATAAAAGTCTTGAGTAATTGTTACTATATATAT